ATTAGGTAATGTTGCCATCTTCAGTTTCTTGCTGGCATGAGGACAAATGCTTAGTGGTTCTAGAGATGGGAACAGAGGCAGAGGAATAGAGTAAACCCAATGAATGACTAAAGAAGTATGCTGCTGGTTTGGAATTACTGCACTGAGGGGCATAAGTGGGTTAGCATTTCAGGAGAGTTTCCAACTGCTGTAATGTTTTCTTAGAATAGTTGAGCAGGTCCTCAAAAGCTGTGGCCTGATGTCACCAGAACATTAAGGGGTTACACGTTATTAGTGTCTCCCCACAATACAACAACTGTAGAATGCCAATTGAAACAGGTGAGCTGTGATCAACTATACAGTAACTATTTCCTGTACTCTGGGTCACACTGGGCTTTCTGTTCCTTGTACAGGTTTTCCATGTACAGTATACAGTAAGTGTTCAGGATGTCAAAAAAAAAAAACCCAAAGTATGCAGTCTGGGATGCAGTGTTGAAGGCCCCTTGCAGAAGAGAGAAAGGGACAGTATTGCTGTACCTATTGGCCCAAAACAAATTACAGTGGTTTAGCCCTGCACCAATTCTGAATGGCCTCCTCTTGTAACCACTCTTAAGTTGTAGCATACTATTATAGCCACTAAAGCAAGGGTCAGCAATCTTTCAGTATGGGCATGCCGAAAGGTAGCTCATACAATTGCTTTTCTTATGGATTTGTGTGCCATTGATACTTTAATGTTAATAAAAGCCCTACTTTTGATTTTGATTAAGAATAACAATATCTAAATTGATAAATTAATATGCATATATTACGGTGTGATCCTTGCTTTCCTTTGCTGAGTTCCTCAATCTGTAGGATCTAATTACAAGTAGAGCTTTTAATACTTATTTCTTAATACTAATCAGCTGGAAAAGCATAGCATTCTTTCATTCACTGTTAAATAAAACAAGTTTTAGCTTTACTTTGAGAAACCAATACCATTTTTATGGCATAGCGAATAATTTTAATACATGCAGTTTGACTTTTCATGCATACAGTATGATCTACATACAAAGAATAAACAGGAAATGTTTTCAAGATAAAAATTGAGACCATACTGAAGCTGTGCAAAGATTTATTAATGTACATAAGGCATAAGGAGCCTTCTGTTTTGTTGTTATTACTGAAAGACGCACATTGTTTGTGTCTTTAAGCTTTACTCTGTAGTTTTTAATGAAAGTTCAGGATGGATGACCGCAGCCAAGTTTTCCTTCACCTCAGCTACTCTAACTTGTAATTTGATGTTGTCATTTCTTGAAAAAACATACACAAATACCATAGTAAGCCTCTTTCCCTAGATCATAAAGACTCTGTATAAGAAAACCTGCGCTACTGAATTACTTCCTACCTCTTCTTCGCTGCTGCTGTTGCATCATGTTTAAAAACATTCTCCACCATTTTGCTAGGGATCTGTTGCTTCAATAAGATCCTCCACGGATCCAAGCAGGATTCCTCAGCTCCAGCGAAGATTCTCAGGTTCAGTTGACCACCCTTCTGCTAAGGCAGCCAGCCCTATTTTGCAACTTAACCTCACTTGGATGCTGAAACTCCTTATCATTTTCTCTACATACTATATAGTGTGCAGATTTACAAGGTACACAAGCTTGCTCAATGTACAGTACATCAGCTCCTAACTTTTGCTTCAAATCTCAGGTCGGTCAGCTTCCCCCAAATGTCTGTTCTCTGTGTTGTTATCATTGACCACACAGTATGTTTGGCATGGACCAAAGAAAATGTTTAGGATATATAAAGGCACCTCTTTAGGATATATAAAAATACATTCTAATTAATAGTCCTTCTATAGGTTTTGTGCGTCCTGCAGGAAAATACAGTAAAAGGGAAATCCAAATTTCTCTCTCTCTCTCTCTTCTCACAAACTGCCAAAGTATATTCTTAACAGCTCTTTGAAAATGGTGATCACATTTGCATTTTTCTTTCATTGAAATCCTTAGTTCAGAACTAGTGGTTTGGTGCCCTGCTTGTTTCTTTTGGGGTTTCTGACTTCCTCGTCCTACAGCCAGATGGCTGCCCCCCAGCCAAACTGGTTCAGCAAAAACCTCCTATGAATAAGTAGGATATTATATTCCTGAACACATTTTTTTTCCTGGATGGTGTTATTAATTCGGAAATGCATATTTTGTTTAATACACAGCCACTGTGTCATAAGGAACAGTGAAATAAACGTGAAGTCTTCAATGTGGTTAACCTTCCATGCTAAACAATGCCATGAACTCAAATGACAGCAGCATGCAGTCTGTGCTATTTCACATTCCACATTCCACCTACCTCTGAACCTTTGGACTTGGAAATCAAGAGTTCACCTCTGTTTCATGCAACACAAGCTAACTCTGCAGCTCTGTTTAGTTGCTCATGAACTAAGACTTGAATAATAATAATGAGTAGTATTCCTTACACTTATAATGCACTTTTCTGGACACTCCATTCAAAGGCTTGCACCTGTTATTTGCCGAGATAGGATCTGGCTCCTCTACAACCCTTAATTGAATGAAGCAGTAAGAAAATGGATGGATGGAGTACATAAATATGTGATCTAATTTTGGTGGTTCCTAAATAAGGCACAGATGGTTGTAGTATATAGGTGCTTTTCTCCTAGTGAGGATTAACTACATCATGTTTCTGAGCAAGTGAGATAAATACACCAAAGTACCATCTGATATACTGTACAAAGGAATGTTAATTCCATGCCCCCTGAACACCCAGAATAAATAATACAGCCCATGAATTCATTGAAAAACCTGTAATTGTTTACAAGTAAAAGTAAAACAAGATTGAAAAGAAAGGTGGGTTTTCAGAAGTAAATCCTTGTCATACAAAAAGATGAATTAACACTGTTGGTATTGGAAACCAACACCAAAGGCTCCGTTCTGAAGTCGTTTAAAAAAACTTCTTATAAGGTCTATTAATTTTACACCACTGTTGATGCCTTCAGCAAAAGTCTGCCTACTTTCTTCCTTTAATGAAATTCTAAACTTCTTCATCTTATTGTTCTAAGTGTAGCAACAACTAAAACATTGTCGCTGCCTGGTGTGCAAAACATTTTCATATTATCATTGTCAGTGACTGGCAGCTTGTGTCTGTTTTTAATATAATCTTATTTATACAACCCTTTTTCCATTAGATTCTCATGTGAAGACATTGGGGGATGAACATCTCCTCTACAGACGTGTGAAAATGTTCAGGCCTGTCACAGGTCCCGCACAATGACAACATTTGGCTTCAGTTCAAAACAACACCACCACCAAAAAGCTGAAGTTTCCAAACTCAATAGGCATCACATCAGACATTTGACTAATGATGATCGCTGTCATCATAATCATAGTAATTCCAAAGTAGATAGACATCTTTCGCTGCAATCTACTATTCAGTATCTGAATTCAGTTATTGAATCTGCAGATTTAGTATCCCAACAAAAAACAATACATAGTCACGTATTGGTCCACTGCATAATAAAAGAATATGTCAGATATGCTGTATAATACGTGGTATAACTAAACCCAGAGACAAGATGACCTGTTAATTTCTCACACTGCATACAATGAGAATACGGAGATGGTAAGTAATCCCAGGCTATACGATCTTCACATCAAGGCGAGGGTTTACTGTACATGCAGTGGTTGGCTAATTATAAAGAACAACACGAAATACACCTAGGGCCACAAAAATTACTGAACTACTTCCAAAATTTCAGGCAGAGCTGCATCAAATGCTGTTGGTTGAGGGGTGCTATATTTTCATAGACATCTACCGCTAGTATAATAAATGCAATGATTTGTAGCTGTAGTTACTGTTCTGTGTGGACTGACCCACTATTAGGAACATTCTCTAATATTTTAGACAGATGGTCTATCTGAACTTGATATTTATTTCTCTCATACACAACCCCTGAGAGGGTAGAATACTACACTGCAATTTTTCTTTCATTCAGACTTCATGATACTGTAAATAATTTAAATGTTGGAAAAACATTAATGGCTTGATATCTCTGTGTGCAAAAGCTATCATATTTGAAAAGAATGGCAGAACAACAATTATTTCCCAATGTATCAAGTCAATGAATGAAGTAATAATACTCAGATTATGACAAGAAGATGTCTCTTTCACTTTGCCCAGTCGACACTCTACCCTGTGTCATTCATCACCTTTTTCAAAACCATTGTTTCTTTCTGTCACCATCAGTTCCATGTCATTCTGAAAGCAATCATCTTGAACAGCAAATTATAAAACGGGGGACATTTTCTCATCTCACAAGTGAAATTGATGAGAGCTTTAAGAAGAAGGAAAACAGAAAAATCAATTCTAACTATTTTGTAAGGAATGAAAACATTTACCAGCATATTTCTGATACATCTTTCTCCCAAGAATCAACATTGCAATCCCTTTAATGGTTGAATCGATCAGAAATAAAACCTGTTTATGGCCAGAATCTAAGGAGGCTTTAAATAAGTGTGGGGCATTTTGAATTGATTTTTTAAAAACCATTCCTTTAAAATGGTAGTAGTATTTACTGGATTACTCGCTGATTCTTTATTGCTTCTGTGTTTTCGGAATTGTGTACCAATCAAACACAATTGGGGAAAAAAACACTTTGCTGAAAAACAATGATTTAGGTGACATTTGTAGAGTTAAATGCTGAACAAGACAATGAAAATCTAAAGAAAATTATGTAATCTTCATCATAAATAGGGCAGCACGATTTTATTTAATTTTTCAGGAGAAAGTGAAACACTACCGGAAACACTAATGTAACATTCCAGCTTTTGATGACTCTAAAGTCTGCAGAACTCAGAATTGCTCCTTAAGAAATAAAAATCACTGAATGTTTTTTGGGGGTGTAAAATGTTCATTTTAATAGGCCTTTTTTTCATATACTGTAAGTACACCTTAAATTCCACTTTAAAAAAATTATAAATGGATGCCTGAAGTGAAAGAGGTGCAGACAAAAAGAACTCGCAATTGTTTGTTTGTTTGTTTGGAGTGGGAAGAGACTCTTTATTACAGTCAAGAAAATGAAGACCATGTGAGACAGAGTACACTTTCCATCAACAATTCAACAACACAAAAAATACTCTGGCCAAAACCAAAGTGTTAAGTTCCTACAATATACTGTATATGCTGTGACCCAATTTCAGCAGTACAAATGTGGCATGACATATCCAAAAACACTGAAAATGAAGTAGTTCAATAAACGCACTCTAATCTCCAGCAACATGCCAAATTTAACAAGTCTTAATAGGAAAATGCCTTTGTAGCACCACTGCATTTCCTGTATAGAGATCACAAAATAGAAAATGCCAGCAGCACAGCTCCACAAATCACCAGGCCTGGTGTGTTATCTAGGTTTTGGTCCCTATCAGAATCACAAAACTTGAAGACTATTGGGGGAGTTGATACAGCTTTGAAAAATCTGAAAGTCTACAGTTTGAAGTTTAGAAAGCATCGTCAGGGAAAATAATGCTAACTTAATCAAAGGATTTTTGAATGGAAACTCCACCAGTGTACAACGTCTTGATAAAATGTCAATATCAGTTTTTATAGCAGGACTGACTGGAGATGAGTAAAAACTAATAATCAAGCCTTATTTAGGAAGTCAAGTTTACAGTACCTTTATTCTAGATTGTGTGTACACAATGGATTACATGAGAGTGCTTTTAAATTTGCTGTTCCTGGTTCTAATTATTTAAACCCTTCACCAGTGGTTTTGTCAGCTACACATATTTTCAGGGAACATTCAGTCTTGCTGACAGAAGAGCAGAGGATTTGCTGTAGATACAGTAACTTCCAGAAATATGAGATTCAAAATGTCAAGTTAGGAAATTCTGAACACACTACAAGCATTGTACTGGAAAAATATAAGCACCACTATTTCCAAAAATTATGATATTGTAGATAAATAATACACCTTAACAACTAAGAGCCCTTATTTCAGGTTGTGTATTTTTTTTAACCTACTGTATAGAAAAAAATGTGCGAAAGTTACTTTTGGACTACATATAAATCTCTGAAAAAAAGAAACTACTATAAGAATAAAGTGACCATAAACATTTAAAGACCAATCACGGGTTTGAAAATGTCTGTTTCCAGATTACGTTTCTCACATCTCCACATGTATTTAAATGAAAGACTGCAGGAGCATTAAGAAAAATGTCAGAAACTCAATTTTCCAGAACACATTTATCTCCTTTTATATTGCACAAAATAAAAAATTAAATGCCACAGATTCCATATTTTCTAACAATGTGAGGCTGCCATAAATTGATTTAATACATGTGGTAGGAGTCAAGCGCAGCTACATATTCCCTCTGCATTCTGAAACTACTTCTTTAAGTAAGATTACATTTGTCATCTGACTGTACTTCTTGCTTCAACCAAAGAGGGGGAGGCCTCAATGTTTTGGATTCTAACCTTATATCTCCAGCAGACAACACTTACTAAAACGAAGACAAAGTTGTGGGTTTTTTTTTTATTTGAATGGAGAAACAGACAAAAATGCAAATATAATGAAGAAATCCCACTCTGCCCCTTAACTGACAAATGAAGCTATTCTAATACATCAGTCAAATTGAATTCTTATGTCGCTCATTGCAGGTTTTTATCTGTTAGCCCTGTCAGCCATATGGGATCAAAAAGGAGAGGCTGGATTTTATCTGAGGTCAAAACAAGCTCATGAACGCTAATCTGAAATTGTACCCATGGCTAACTGCATCCTTCTTTTCCTTTCTTTTGGACTTGCATCCTAGGGGCACCACTACAATTTCTTACATTGTTTTTAGTGAAAGACATAATGACAATATGTGGTTAATTCTTTTTTTTTTACATTCTCAAACTACTTCTGACAAAAACCGCCTGCCTTTTTAGTAACTGTCTACTCCTCCCCTTCCACAATGGCCCCACGCTCCTCTGCGATAACATCCTGGTTCTTGTTGGCCCTCAATTCAGCTTGGGTGACCCCCACATTTTCCGCTCCCTCAATCGATTCTAGGTCGAGCTCCTCGAAGGAGGAGCCACTTCCAACCGATTCGTTGGAGCCCTTGTCACTTCTGTCACTCCTGTTGTCCCCATCGTCTTGGTCCCTGGGAGGCAGAGAGGGCGCAACTGACGTTGCCAGGGAAGTCTCACGGCTCTCAGACATGGCCAATTGGCTCACGGAACCAGTTTCGCTGTTTGAGTCCTCACCTTAAAAAAAAAAAAAAAAAAAAAAGAAGAAAATTAATATGCGATTTATATGAAAGGAATGATGCACATTTCAGTCCTGGAATGAGAGAAATCAGGGATAAATGAAAAGCTACCTGTTTGATTACTAATTTGGTAGTTTGGTTAGATCCCAATGAATGCAAAGACAAGATATGTATGAAGTGTTTGGCTTGACTCACCTAGTGAAAGGAATGTCAGCCTATCAGAGAGGCTGTTGTGAGCAGTGAGCTAGGGGGTTTGCTACAGGTGCGTAGATGAGGAGGCAGGGGGGATGCAAGACAGACAGAAAAGGGAGGACCTGGGTACACGATTTATGTACGTACTGTAGGCGAACTGAAGTGTGTGAGATTAGTATCTAGCCTTCCTCCCGAACTTCAGTAACAAACACAACAAGTGCATTCCCATCTGTTAAGTGCAGCTTTTGTTAAATGCAAATATAAAGCACAAGGAGGATTTTAAAGGTTGATTTTTTTTTTATCCCTGTAATTAGAAAAAAAACACTGAGTTATTTTTTGCTTAGCTGCTTTAAAGTGACACTCAAGCTCAAAAGAAACATACCTGAAAGCTAAGCAAAGTACAGTACTGTACATGAGAGTGACTGAACATTTAGCAGGCTATAATCTAATTGTGAATCCTTCCTATGGCACAAAGTAAGCTTTTTTTTTAAGACAGGTAACATCTGTTTTCTGAAAGTGTGCGCTTTAGCTTCCTCTGCTCTTGTGTAATTGAGAGAATAAAGGGGAAAAAAAGAAAGTCGGTCGTTTTAAGATCTATGCGTGTAAAAGTCTGGAAAGACTCCTGGCATGCCAGTTACCACATAATATACAATAGGTGAGATTTGTTTTTCCTTTCACAAATAATGGAGACCATAAACATTTGTCTTGCCTTTTCCAGAAGCATTAAGCATCAGCCATTATAAATGTATTCTCCTGTCAATACAGGCTGTTAAATGTCAGTTTAAACACTGATAGGCAAAATATCATTTATTCATTATAGACATTTTATGACTCATTTATAAAGGCATACAAACCCTTTCACAATACGGTTTGGATAACGCAGAACCTGGCTGCAAAATCAACTTTGCCTGCTATTGTCAGTTAAAATTCCAGGAGGTATCTGTGCTTCTAACACCTGGTCTTCGTGATTCATCAGCATCGTTGGAGTACTTTCTGAACCAGTTGTTGTGCCGAGCTACAGCATATGAAGCCAGGAGTGCTGGCAGACAAACAGCTTTGTAGTGCCACTAGAAAGGGGCTTTCCTTCATTGCAGAAGCTGTACTCCACAGAACAGCTTGGAAATTAACTCATTCACTGCCTATGGCAACTAGGATTGCTAAAAAAAATTCTGAGTTTTCTACACTGTCTGTGAGAACTAAAACAATAACTGTAATTTAAATATGCAAGATAATACTCATGTACCATTAATTAGAATATCTATTTAGAAATGTGTATCTTTTTGATTCTATGCAACAAGGTTAATGACGGTGTGCAGTGTTTTGACAGGTAGAAGACAGGAGAGGAACAGAGTAGCTCTTTGCAGGTTATAATCTTTTGAAATGTTGGTAGCCTCCTTGCTTTGCCTGGCTGAGACTTCCAAATTCCAAACCAGATAAGCAGTGAGACAGGTAAATTAAGATCTTATCAAGAAGATATGTGAACATCAATGCAAATTCACCCTCACAGGGAGTGGAGACGGATAAATGACTTCCTACAGGCCAATATACTGGCATAGAATAATCTTGTTTTGGTGAACTTTTGACCAATTAAACACATAATCAATTCAATCTAGTACTTGTGAGATGAGGAAACGCTAATAAAATGATTTTATTACTACAGTGGAATAGGTTTTCCAACCACTAGTACACAATATAAAACCATTAAATGGTTCTGAATAACTTTTGTGTTTTAGTTTTACCAAACCTTTGTGATTTTACTGAGGCACTGTCAAACAAACCTATGTTCACAACACCGTAATCTTTAATTTATTTTAATTTAGTGATGATTTTGACGACTAAACAGAATGTATTAAAAGTCAAAGTTAGTACTGAATCACCTTATAAAAATAAACACTGAAATGAAAGTTGCATTTAGCCAGTACCACCAATCCCACTGGAGAACTAACATATTGGGTAAAGATTGAGTTTCAGATGCCTCCTCAGGACAGTGAGTTTTTCATTTGAGGTGGTTCCTGACCCAGGCACATTGGAAATGGTCTATCTGACAAGCCAGGCTCTTTGATTTTGTGTCATTAACCATGTGAGATTGTAAGCTGTGGAGTTTATTAGAGGCTCTTTATTTAGCGCAAGAAACGTTTAATCAATACAGCTCCATCTCAGTCACCCTGTTACTGTCTTGGAGTCTATTAACCCCCACCAGACACGCATTCAATAGTGCATTTTATTTCTTCCTACCAGCCAGCGACACGCATCTTGCATTTACAGTGCTATAAGAGTCACAGGGAAATTCACAATTAAGAGATGTAATTAATCCAAAGCCAGATATGAAAAAGGGCACCAATCACAGCAAGAGATCTAAATCTCCTTCTGTCATGCACAGGATAATGATTCATTTCGTTCCCCTTCTTTATAGATCACAGAAGACCTTCTTACTTAAAGGGCCAAGTGCAATATTTTTCTCCTGTCATTCTTTTTATCGTGGTAATGTATTTGGTTCATCAGACAATTTCCTGAAGCATCATGAAAAGTGCAAAACAGAATAACATAAGAGTCTGACTGACAAACATAGATAATCTTCATATCCCTAATCAAATTACTTGTTTTCATACAGTATCCGGGATATGATATCGCTGACCAAAATATGTTTGCAAAACCAGAAATATTCTCTGTGGGCACTCTGTAGCATTTCTGTTATCAATTTTAGTATGTCTGATTGTATTTCTTTTGGCAAAATTAACTGTCTTCTACTTTTTGGGTAAATTGTCCTTAACAGGATTAGAAAGGCTCAATTTAACTTAGCTGTTATTGGTAACATCTGATGTGCAGGCTGTATTTCAGCACAATTAACAGTTTCTAGTTGTTATGTTATATTGCTGTCAATCTTTAAAAATGGTTGCATGGTTCATTTACAAAATGCATTTCTTGTATGAAGACGGTTTTCCGATCAATATCATATGTACAGTATCTACTTCATACACTACTTAAAATAATACACAAATTTGAGTTGCCTTGTCACTAAAGAAATTATTTTTACCATATCAATCAACTTTTTTTCTGCTTAGGCCTGGGGAAAAGAAAATGTTTTCTTTTGTGCTGCTCACAAAAATTAACTCAAGCATCTCAAATAAATCAGGCCTCTTCAGCACTAACTGTACACGTTCATTTGGTGACTAAAATATTCTCCAAAGATCTGAGACCTTTACAGAATTAATTAAAGCTTGAAGCACAGAACACCCTGGGTTCTCCACAGCCACATTTAAATGTCATTTAGTTCATGAGCATCTTGATTAGAGCACTGCTGCTCATTTTAATTATATGAAGGTATAGAATCTGAGTGATCAATCATGTGCACACACATATCAAATAAATGGGTAAGTTAATATATAAGGTGAAGTTATTCACCAAATACACTTCATTGGAGAAGGAAAACATTTATGAAATCGACATCCACACAATCCGCAGGCTTGTGTTGATGGCCCTGTGATAAATTAATGTTGGTTGGTTTCTGAACTGGACCTGCATGGCCAGTTGGACCTTGCCGTCATCACAGAGACTTTCTGTCATCTGGCTGCAAAGATACACATCCAGCAGATGTTTGTAAAGCCCTGTGATGGACAGAGCAGTCCGACTCTCAGTGCTATCTTGGGACTTGTTCTGGAATAAGCTCTGAGTGGTAGTGAACCTCAAGAGGAGAAGAATGATTTCACATAATGGATAACATAATGGAGCTGCTGCCTCTGAGCTGTTTTTTATGGTTTGAGCTTGGGGAATGCTGCTTGGTAACAATTGTTAGAGAGAAAATATGTACAGGCATTCACACGAGGTTGCAAGAGTAAATTACACTGCTGCTGATTTAGATTAAGAGAAATGACTCGGGAGAATTTGTTTAACCATGGAGTCATGGTGAGACGAGTCTAAGGGCTATCAGGTGGACCAGGAAAGAGATAGGATAGTCGACAGTGCAGTGCTCAACTGCCAACTGACTAACTTCCCGTAAGATAGAAAGGAAAAGCAGTGTGTGCTTCTCATTGGTTTTTAGGGAGAATCACAGCTTCATCTCCCTTAGGGTTAAGAGATAGGATGGGATAAGCATCATTTGCACACCCATCATAAAGTTTATACAAAAAGGGAATCCAGTCAGGAAATTAACTTTTTCAGACCAAGTAAGGGCTGGACTGCAAGTTATTAAGGGTTGGTCCATCCTTAGCTTCTCATTTCCCCACAGTTTCATTACCATTAAACAGAAAGTAGGTCTAATGCTACACTAGCAGTTTAAAGAAGATCCGGCACAGATGGATCAATTAGAAAAGACGGAATCATCAATGAAACGTTAAGCTCTAAATGACAAATAATTATGCAAACTCTATCCAGTACCAATTAGTTCAATTATTGTACTAGAGTTACTTAGTATGTCTATTTGGATTAGACACAATTCAAAAATCAGTTAAAGTAGGTTAACAAAGATATACAGGGACTGAGCACTCTAAGCAGCTAAGAAGTACAGTAGATAAACGTACTTTGCTAGTCTACACACACAGGCTTGTAGGAATGCATATGGTGACCATGGTGAAAGATTACACTAAGCTCCTTACATCTATTTGTGGGTAATATATTATTGTGAGCATACTTTCATGATAATTTATCACAGGCTATGAACTGACCAGGCTAATTCTGGGTGATATCTGCTTAGGGACACACCAGCCAAGCACCTAGGTCAGTCAAGCCCTAACTGTGCGTGCTTCCTTGCTCATTTATATTGAACTGTTTCAAGGCAGCAGCATCTCTCCAGGAAACACAGAGCATGTG